GATACGAGAAACAGAAGAATCACACATTCAGCAATGGGGCACGACAGGGACAGAAACTCACACGTGACCCCTTCCTTTGCTTTCACACTGCACAGCCAGGGAAGTCACCAGTTAGAACTGCTGCAGAAACAGTGCCAGTCATCAGAGCAGCTAAAGCAAGCAGCCCTGCACCCCTCTGCACTGACTCCACACATTGCGGGAGTATCTGTACGAAGCGCTGGGGCAAAACAAATACTTAACACACTTTACAACCATGGGGTAAAATGAAACATCTTTTCAATCTCATTTTTACCACAACTGTTTCCATGTTTAGGTCTTTGTTCGACAGGAAACTGCAAAATATGGCAGCATTTTATCACAAATGATAATAAAGCCACAGACATGACTCCAATCATGAGTCCTTGTACTTCCTGACAGCTGGCCAATAACGGGCCCTTTCTCTTCCGCTTTTCTTACTTTCAGGAGCTCTGTCTAGGGTGAACCAGAGCTTGAAGCGAGAGGGATAGTTTGCCTGGATTTCTTCCAGCTCTGGACGCAGTAAGATGTCCTTCTCCGTCTGCAGGTGAAAACCCACATCAGTTTATCCAAAGATTTGCACAGAGCTCTACTATAACTCCATTCACCACATTAAATAAAATCACACCAACTTGTGATAGTTTCAAAAAGGCAACGTTATGTAACAGTACATAAAAGGCTATATTGTACTGGAAAATTTAACATCAGCGCAGCTTATTCAAAGTGTTCATAATATATTACTTGCAATGCAAAAGTATATTTATGTTGCCGTTTTACAAGCCATTCACCTTACATATAGCCTGCTGGAGCAAAAGAAAAACAAAGCCACAAAATAAGATAAAAAATAGTTGTCAGCAAAGGCAGCCTTTTGAAAACAATGACTAATAATTGATTTTCATTTCTAAACACATGCCATCAATGAAAAGATTTCTCTTTTCGGATGCAGTGCAAGCTGGAAAGGATATTATTTTTTTTAAATGGTAACGTACTCCAAACACAACCAGCCTCTGCTAACAGTGTTGATGGGGAGCTGCACTCACAATTCCTCAGACCAGTTAGAAATTGCGGTAACAAAATAAGTTAATTGACAATGTAGCAACATTTTACGAATTCCGAATTAAGCACAAAATTGTGAACTTTGTGAAAATACTGTCAGTCGCCCTGTTGTCACAAACCCCTGGTCTCCCCAGGGCGAGAGTGAGAGTTTCTGAGAACTGTGACATGGAGCTGCCCCTTCACTTCAGCTGGCGTTTGTTCAGTTTCGTTCTGAATTGCAGAACACGGACATTTAGTCCGTTTTGTGATGAAAACTGAAGGTTAACATGTTATTGTGTGCATGTCACCTGCACTGTGGTTTGAAATGCGCACATCGGTGCTGATTCTTTATGATCCCCAAACATAAAACTAGCCTTGCCGTTTCCCTTTAATCTGCTGTGCTACAAGTTTGCTTACCTGATTTGCAAACAGCAAGTAACACACAGTTTTGTCCTCCTTATCCTTCATGATGGCTCTGATTATCTGCAGCATGGGCGTAATCCCTGAACAAACACCACATTGCACATTCAAATACAGATCACATTCATCAGATACATTTTGGGGGATAATTCTGCATTAGAAAACTAATGGCTATGAAAGCACTTTTTGTCCAACTAATTAGGACAATTAGATAATTAGATTTCCTGTGAACATTAAAGCATGGTACAGTCTATTAACACAGCACCATAATATCTCAGAGCTGGTCTCTGACAGTGTTTCCCTGCATAGAGCGGATCACACTTCCTTAAAGTTTGCACCAATCTGCACCTTGGTTGAAGCATGAAATCATGTCTGAAAGACAAGCATTTTTCTGTGTCTCTCTGCTACGTAGTGCCCCAGAGCGTGGTTTGAAGAAACTGAGATGACTGCAAGGGAAACTAGAAGTCTTCATCATATCCACTATCCATAAAGCCTTATCTTCAATGAAAAAGTGATTTATTCATTATAATGTGATACAGCTGAAGCATGGAACACAACATCTAGTAACTAATCTCTTTACTTTTTTCATTTGTTCAAATGCAGACTCACCTTAACATTTCAATTTCCGTTCTGTGAATGTACCATTTGTCAATTGTGCAGAAAATAATGTTGTTCTTTTTGAAGCACGTGGAAATAGAACTATTTCTTTAAATAAAATTCAATACAAAGGAGAAAAGCTACAGTATGTCTGATCAACGTACTAATGGTGTTATTCTGAATATTGTTCCCAGTGCTTGCCAACAATATCTTCAAGTTTCACAGTTTGGGGAATTCAATCTGCTTGCAACACTCCAGAAATCACTACAGTGTTGAAATATGGTAAAACTCTAACAAAGGCTAAGGATTGACTAAACAAGCAAATATTTGGCTTTTCTTTTTCAGAAAATAACACTCACCAGTCCCACCAGCTATCATCCCTAGATTCTTGGCAGTCTTGATCACAGGATCAGACTTCTTGTCTGGGCGGATGGCAAATGTCCCTAAGTCGAGAGAGACATGTGTAATGATATCATGCAGCAACACATTCCTACACAGCAAGTTTCTGAGCTGATTTCTACCAGGTGTTTTTTTAGTTCAAGAATATTCCCTGTTAAAAGTTATACAACTATGAAAGCTTAATAGTAAATCTCTTACAAAATGAATATACCTGTTCTATTTTTGTTTCTTGCTGGATTACCAAGTTCAAGCCCTGTGCTTTCTGAATTCTCCCACAATAAGAATGCTAATAATCACTTGCATTCACATAGCAGTTCTTGTCCCAAAGGATCCCAGAGTACTTCGCAGACAGGAGGGGTCCCTCATCACCATGAGTGAAGTGCAGTAGTCACTTTGGTGATGCGCAGCAACCCAGATATTATGCACCAGACGTCCCCAGCAGGCTGATCAGGTAAAGCAGTGAGAAACTGCTTCACCAGGTCATTGAGCGGGAGACTACTTCCATGAATTGTGCTATGGGATCTTCAATGACCAAGGAGTCTGACTTCAAACTGAGTTTCTGTTCCTACTAGACAATATCCTCAGTCACTATCCTGGATTGGAAATTCTGGTCCACAGGGAAGAATACCAGCTACTGGTCCTCTACCTCCGGTATCAGCAACCAAGTTTTACCAAGAGGTCTCCCAACTCAGTGCTGATCAGACCTTTGGATTCTGAGTCCGGACAAAATCAAGCTATGAGGTAATATTGCGTAGATGCATGCAAATCAATACAAACACTGAACATGACTCATAAATCACCACATCCTGCCTCTAAAAAATACAAGCCTTAACAAAAAGACTACTTTGCAAAACAAACAACTTCACACAGCCATGTGAGACCCACTGACTCTCATCACATGTCACTGTATGGAACGATCTGGCTCCACTGTGACAAAGCAGACCTTCATAACCTCTCAAGAGCCATGGCTTTAGACTCCTGTATTGCTGTTGAGGTTTCCCCAGAATGACAGCCATCGCAGAAACGTAAAAACTAAGAGTTCCGAAAAAAAGCACATATTACAGAAGACAAACATAGCTAAGAGACGTACTAAAATTGAACCTTCGGCATGTGATAAAATATGCAGTTTCAACTTCAGCATGTAGGTCGAATGTATTATCAAACAGACTTTGAGCCACTCAGTTCTGTGAAAAAAAAACAGCCTTGAAAAATACAGTTAGAAGGCCATTCAAAACAAGTCATTTGTAAAGTTCTAACTTGAAGGCTGGTGCAGAATGTGTTAAATATCACTCCTGGAAGGAGATTCAAACACTGTGTTCATTGTTGGAATCTGAAAATGTTGACAAAAAAGGGAGGACTGAAAAGTCATCAGTTAGAAAAGGCCTCTGTCCCTGGCACACCATATCAGATGACAGATTCTATGTATTTCACCAGTCTTCTGATGCTGTCTGTTGTGTAATACTAACAACACAGAGATAACAATAACAGAGACTGCAGAAGACAACAAAGAAGAAACAAATGAGGAAAAACTGAGTGAAAACACCTTGCATAGAGAACACAAAGTATTTTACACATAGAGGCTTCAGTCCTTAATCATACAGCAGCTCATAATCTGCCATACCCTGAGGATCTTTAATCTGCAGAATGAATTTGAAAAGAAAAAACTGGATTTAGCCTATTACTTCACGTTTGTCTGGTTTTAACCAGCTTAACCCTTCACCCACTCAGCTCCTCACCTTTCCCCTGATACACAAGCAGCCCACTTGGACCCCGGAAGTCAATAGTATCACCGATCCGAAGGCTTTCCAAGTACTGGGACATCTTCCCGCCCTCAGGAAACTTGGGGTTAACATTTTTGTAATAGATCTGAAGAGAGACCAAACATTAAAGTTAGTTCTAATTTAAAGAACTGTGTGAAAAGCATTCAGGTAAAATACAAAATGTTCATTGTTCAGAAGCTACCGCAAAGTTGATTAGAGCTCTACAAAATCCAATAAGAAGAAAATGCACATTATGGCTCTTTGTCACTCTTTGTTCCTAGTGGTAGGCAGACGTACACACAATGTTTTTACACCTCATATATCCACAAAAAAAGTGAATTTCAGTTCCTACCTTCACAACCAGGTCTACAAAACCCTTGTCATCATCACTGGACACTGGCGTGTAGGGTCTCACTACAAGATTCCCATCAATCTTGGCAGACAAGTAAATGTGCTGTCCTGAAAAGAAAATCTTCGATTAGATCACACAGAAGACAGACGGTACTGGAATGCCTTTTTAAGTGCAAACTCTTTGCAGCTGTATTTACAATCACAATTTTTCTCTACTTAAGACTCCTAATGACAAATGAGAAGAGTTCATTCACTCCATCTGGTACCTGGTAGATTACTGATTCAAGGATCTCATCCTGGATCAAAAAGCTAGAATTCTGTCCGTAATAAATGCCTAAGTACTGCATTTCACCATTATAATGTAACAACCCATTATTTATTTATATGCTTTGCCTATATTTCCTAACATTTTGTTAGAAATATTTGTTTCCCCACATTGTCTAAAATCTGTAACTGACGTGTCCATAAACATCTAAATCGTCTTTCGTATGCACACTCTTCTAGCTCAGTGTTTCCCCATTACTGTATGTATTTACAGTTCAAGGATTTGCTGCCTGTATGCAAAAGTCTGCACCTGTCTGCTTTAAACCTCATCTGCCAGGAGTTTGCCCACTCGTGATTTTTATCTAAATCTGTTTGAATTTCATTTGCTACTTCGGCAGTGTTTCCTAACCCTGCTGTTTTGTTATCACCAGCAAACCTGATATGTTTACTTGTTATCTCAATATCCAATTCATTTTCTGAATGGCATACAGGCTGTAATTTGAGGAGTAATCTTTAATAAGGAACTCTATCAAACTAATCTTTGTGGAATCTAAAACCAACACAGATTGCACTCTGCTTGTGTGCCCTGTGATGGACTGGCATCCCGTCTAGAGTGCAGTCCCGCACGGCGCCCTGTTCTTCCAGGACGGCCTCCGGGCTTCCACACCCCGCTCCAGGAAGAAGTGGCTCTCCTACATCGGTACCCCCGAAAGCAGAAAGAGAGAGACTGCGTGGCCCCAGCTCCAATCGAAAGCTCAGCGCAGCTCACCGATGGGAAGCCCCAGGACATGAGTCTCAGACGGCAGCGCGAAGCGGAACTTTCTGGTGTCGTGACTGATGATCTAGAATGTCAACACAAACACAAAGGAAACAAACAGTGTGAGTGCCAAGAACCGTGACACATGGGGCCTCCTGACAATGGGGGGGGGGGG